CTATGGGCCTCCTCTGCCCCCCTGCAGTCCAGAAATCGGTATTTCCTCTTGGCAACAGAGGTCCGCACACACACGAAGCCGTCACGGCAAGAAAACGAGCAGGGTTTCAGGCATTGCCAGCATCCCGCTAAAAGCATTGCTACAAGGTTACGGTCGGTACTCCAATGGAGGCCGGTAGCTCTCTGTTGAATACTCTGACCAGTGAAACTTCAAAGGTACATCGGTGCTTAAAGTGGAAACTTTCTCAAAGTACTGCTTGTGTTGACCATTTTGGGTCAACCTGAAATGACGTTTGTATAATGCAAATCGGCTGTGCGAGAGCCTTGACCTAATCGCCTCTTTGATGTCATCGATTATTCCGCATGCAGGGACCTCGAAGGCAGCTGACGTGCAGCCATATCCCAATCCTTGAGGCGGCAGGTCCTCGACCCAAAACTTGCGAAGTTGAACTTCCGGAGGAGTACGTTTCGGAGAAAAAGGAAGTTGAGAAGATCTCAGTCATCGCCAGTGCCGGGAAGTGACATCTCAGCCGCATCCCGCTTCATGGCTACAGGTAAAGCGCTACAGAAGTTTGGAAATCAGCTGCAAGCTGACGAAAACAAGCACACGGGGATGACATACGGTATTCCGCGATACAGACCAGCGATAGTCAAATGGTAAAGGAGGCGGACTTTGTGCTCAAAAAGCCCGAAATGCAATCAACTGTACAGGATTAAATGGTAATGGGAGCTCGTAGATTCTGACTTTGCAAACGAGGCAAGAGTCGATAATCAAAACGACTGATTTCCAGTCCTGTGCCAACAAACTTCAGCCGTTCGAAATCAGTATTCAGCATGTTGCTGAATTGCGGCATCTTACGAACATTGATAGCAGGTATGTGCAAGGACAATTGGTTCATGAGTTTAACCCACGACTGGGATATTGCAGCCAGCCGAAGAAAAGCTGCTACATCCAAGTGACTTGTGTAAAAGAAAACGAGCCAGCTGGCCTTGTTGGGGTTAGGCTTGGTCGTAACATGCCACGGCAGTGGGTGACGGTAGGTGCCGAATTTGCGCATAAAGGCTTGCGTCCTGCGAAGTTCATCATCCCATCTGGGTAGAGATCTCCCCGTGGGATCAGCACGATGTGTCACGGCAAGGTGCAGTTCAATGACTGCCACATAACTGGCAATGATGGTCAGAGAATCAGGTGAAAGCTGACCAAACATGGTGTTGCCAGGTGCTGGTGCAAGATTGACTGTACCCCCTGGGAGCCAAACACTGGTAAGAACAGTCAGGAAAGAATCTGAAACAGAACGAAGCTTCAAGACAGTTTTAAACAGTCTTGCGCGAAAGAATCTGATCGACGATTAAATTGCACTTGGCACTTGGCTCTGTTGCCTCTTTTGAGACGGGGAATGGACTGGACGAAATCAAGCATGAGCTTTGCTCGTTGTGTACAACGAACGTCTCTACATAATGAACACTTTTGCTGTTTGCAGCAATAGTGTTGTGCCACGGAAAGATGATCATTCAATCGCGGCTTGGCACAAGAATGTGCAAAAGTAGCCTTGCTCGTTGTAGCAAAGACAATGGCACCGTCGGTTGGATCAAACTGCGGTGATTGTACCACCACCTTGTTTCGCAAAAGTCCATGCTGATGCAGTTGATGCACAACAGCCTCGCTATGGAAAAGATTCTGTTGTGTAGAAATTGATTCATGCTGTGTTTGTTCAGCCGAATCACAGAAGATGGCGCCGATGACGTACAAGACGAACAAGACGATTCGGCACCATCAGAAACACTGGAAGACGACGAAGAAGAAGAGCTAGAAGACGATGACAGTCGAGGTCTTCGTCGCGGTGCGTGACCATGTTTCGCCACGGCTCTAAAGTGCAGCATCCGCAGAGCGGAGTACACTCCGATGGACTTCAGCTGTAAGCACACGGGCAAAAGGTGGTAGGTGGCTTTGTTTTTGAATCAAAGCATGCAGTACAGTAACCGTGAGGAATCGTCACGAATTAGGCTCGCGTTGACATCGGTAATGCTGGCCGAGCCACGAACAGCATCTTCGATGCTTGGCCAATTGACTCCCCAACCATTGCCGCCTCCCCCATCAAATGTGACAGGTCTGGGGGCTGCAACTTCAGCTTCGGTATGCATGGCTATCTGAGCACTGTGGGTGCTGGAAAGAACCCAGATCCGGTCGATTCTGCCGGCTGCTTCTCTGATATAGCCCAGCGCTTGTCACCCGAAGGTGAATGCACCAAAGCATGAAACTTGCACAGGTGGCCTTCCTGGACCGTGCTGGAGGACTTGCTTTTGTGGTGAGCGGTTCCAATGAACCCTCCGACCACCACTCCTGCACTGTTTTTTGTGCTATGATGCAACTTGGAAACAAATTCCAATTTGGACGGCTCGTAGTGTGCTTCCTGGGAAGTTTGCCGTAGAACGACAAAACCTCATCAGACTGGGAAGACCCTACAGCCTCGCGGCTGGACCTCAACACTCTGCCCAGGGTCAGGATACCAGTAAGGCCTTCGGGCGTGGTTCCATGTCCCCAAAGGTAGTAGCAGTTCGCCTGTTCCTCCGGTCCAGGCAATGCAAAAGCTTTTGCATCATGCTGAAAAATCGAACGGCTGCTCGGCTGGACCGAAACGGGTCAGCAAAAACTGCAGCACTTCCTCAACATCCTGTTTGAGGATTCTGGTCAGTGAAACGGAATACTGTCGTATCCACGCAACACGATCAGTATATCGGCGCATTGAGCTGTGCGGAATAATAGGCCACTGATGCAGTTTGTGGACCGTTAAATAGTTCTCGTGATAATGCAGCACAAAGAACATATATGCAAGAAGAGGGGTCATTCCCTCTTCATAGTAATCCACAGCATTTCGGCCTTTGGCCCGCCGTGCAATTTGATCAAGCAGCTGTTCGTACGTGCTGCGACGGTGTTGCTTGAAACATCGGCTCGTCATCCATCGGGCTCGTAGCAGAGCGCCGGGGTGGGCCTTTGGCACTCACGGGTGGATGCTTAGGCGGCGTAACAGGTGCCACGTTGTGGGGTGCAGGTGACACTGCAGTTGCCACGTTGTGAGGAGCAGTTGATGCAGCAGGTGCATCTGCACTGCTAGCTTCTGAAAGCCGCTTGTTGTAAAACTGACTGTGGTGGCCGGCTCAGTGGCGGCTGAGGCTTGGGTAGCACAGGCCTTTGACCCGGTGCTGGATGTCATTGTCCAGGCGGCCGCTCAGGGCTTGCTGTAGTGGCTGGCGTGGCCATTTGCATTGGTGACACCGAAACCATTCTGATAGCAGGGCTCAGACTGGGCCTGGGTCTTGGTGGCCCGGGCTGGTGGCTCGACGACCTGTATGGTGGCCGAGCGGGTGGCGCAAGAGTATGTACAGGCTCAGGTCTGGGAGGAGCAGACGAAGGTCTCGAATGTTGAGCGGGCACGGGCGCCGGCTCGGATTTTCGAGAGTGGCGGTGCCTGCGACGTCGTCTGCGCGACCGACTGCGGCCTTCTCGCCGTGGGCTTCGCTCACGACAAGTACGAGCCGGCGGGGCAGTCGCCGGTCTCGGCGACACATTTCGAAGAGGTAAAGAGCTCGAGGAAGAGGGTGAGACACTGACCGGGCAAGCCGACCTTCGTTGGTGGGTGTGGGTCACAATGCCCTCGCCTTGAGGACCAGATGGTCCTCCCTTGCCATAGAAATGAAAGGGGTGCTGCTGGGCCATGGCACAACAGAAGTGTTCAAGCTGTGCTCAAAACGTACGCTTGAGGCTGATCCAGCTCAACACAAATGTACGGACAGAGTCCAAAGTGTCACCACAGTGCACTAAATGACACAGTCATTAAATCAGCTGAAGAACAAAAAGATACTCTTGTGCTGCAACTTCACTGCAAAGCAGCCACAGGAAATCCTGCCTGTACATACAGTCGCTTGAGTTGCCGAAGTTGACCTGGTATTGCTTCAGGAGGCCATGTGTACTGGCGAATCAAAGATGCACGGGAGAAGAAGCCAGAAGTTGTGAGTTTCCAAGAACCAGCACTGGCAGGAGAACGGAGTTGCCAGGGTTGTTCTGGCATGTTAAAAGTTGCTGTACGAGCAGTGGCATCAATGGTAAATCCAAAGCCACTGATGATCTGACACTCTTTCGAGGACAATCCCTTGGTAAAAATGGGGATCACAAAAGTGATGCATTTATTGTGATTGCAACGCAGCTTTAGGCCCAAGTATCAGGCGGTTGTCTACGTAACGGAGGAATAGCAGAGAAGAAGAAATCGCTGTAGGTAGAGACGACAGAAATTGTCTCTCTGCCAGCAAAACAGGGAGGCCGGACAAGATGGGAGAAATTTGATTCCCAATACATGTCCCCTCGACTTGCAGCCTGCATTTCCCAGCTGCGGTGAATACCCCAGTGGAGAATGACAATTCCACTATGGAGGGCAAGTCCTGTATCCAGATTCTTTTGAGAGAAGGCTTGGTTTTCCTCGAGGCTGGCCAGGATGGCAGATTTGGAAAGCAGGTCAATGGCCAACACAGCGTGGCCTGTACGCTGACTGTACTCCTGGACAATGCAGTGTACGGCCTTCAAAATGTCAGCCTGAGGCACTGCGTTCAAGAATCCCACCAAATCGTTGTTCCACTCGACATCAGCTTCAGCCGTATTTCGAGGCGAAGACCAGTGCTTGTGGATAGCTTGCCATAATTGGGGCATCGACAAAAGGCCCGGATTGTCAGCATACAGAGTTTTGACTATAAGAGTCAAAGCAACCGATGCCAGCTCCAAAAGCTTGCTGCACAATGATCCGGAGTAAGAAATGATCGTTCGACCTTTGGTGGACTGTTTCTTGCGCTTCAAGAATACTGTGCCTCGCGGCAACTTCGCACTCTTGCAGAAACTCTAGGAGTACCGTCTGGAGAGGTTCGAAGGAATTTCATCCAGCATCTTTGCTTGCCATTCATCTGGCGAGCTTTGCAGGCTCTTGAACACTGACGGATCATCCCATGTGTTGCATAGCCCCGAAGAAAAAAGGACGGAAACACACAACATGGTTGGGGTGATGATGCTCATTGTATAAAACCAAGTCTTTGTGCAATGCTGACTTGACTTTCTGAAGCATGGCCCAGTTCAACCGGAAGCCATGTTCTAGCGCAACAACATGTTGTTGCCACTGCTTTGCACAAAAGTCCTCAAACATAGAATGCAAGGTGCTTGGTAGCCTGTGTCGCATGAGCCACTGATCAAACAGAGCTCTGGACTTGGCCATCCAATGATTCCGGCCGGGGAAGAAGGTGCTGGCAGCACTGGCCGAAAGGATATTGTTGCAACCAGGCAACAGAAGTTGAAAATGCTCAAGGCCGGCAGCAACATGTCCGGAAGAGAAGCCGGTACTTAGCACAAGGACACGGGACTGACTCCAATTGAAAGTCAGGATCCCACATAGTTTCTTCCCAGGTTTGAAAATTGTGAAGAAACTTCTTGATGCTTTGACGCGGAGCCTCTCTGAGGCTGTTCCTGGGAACATGAAAAGAAGGAAAAAGATACTTGTATTGGAGAATGAGTTTCTTCAACCACTGCTCACACTCCGACATAAAGTGGTCAGAAGACAATGGCAAGACACCCAAAGGCCTGGATGTTCTAGGCCAGTGCATGGTCTTGCGAAATTTGACCACTCCTTTCAACAAGCCTTGGACTCTCCCACGGTGAGGATTCTCAATGTTCCGACTGAGTTTGATGAGGGCATACACTTCCTCGTCAGCCGTTTTGTTGGATC